TTCTTATTTCAAACAACCTTTGAAGAGATTTATTGGTAGAATTTTTTTTTATTAAATGAATCTTCTGCACTTATCATCGTAGTTAATTGATGGAAGTGCATTGCATCAGCTGGTAGAGACAGGAAATGGGATTAGTCTAATTTGTATGATATTATCTCAAGTGGTCATTAACCAGATCTAGAATCTAACAAGGATTGCCGAACATTGTGCATTGTACTCGTACATGAAGAATTGTACCAGGTTGTTTTGAGGAAAGTACATGCTAATTTAATTATACTTCTGATACTCATGATCATCTGTTTGCTGTGCAGAGTTGCGTCCCTTTGTCGAATTTTCGGGTTGAATCCTGGTTCGCCCCGATTATATTTCTTGTTTTGTCAGCACTATACCCGTGCTTATGAGTTTCCCCCAAGTGGTAAAAGTCTGACACCTGCATCACTTCGGGCTTTCCTCCCACAATAAGCTGACACGCATTGATTTAACTGGAATACTGTTCAAAGCAGGGTTAAACCCAACTCACTCACTCACACTATGATAATCTGTGCTGACCATTTACCGATGAACAGGCTTTGGTCAATTATAGGTGAGAATATATATGAATTGATCAGTTTGTTGCTTCAAGCGCCATACTCAGCAATATTCCATCTTACTAATGATGTCTGTGAATAATTGAGTCCGGACCAGACAGTCTAGTGATTGACATCATGAGCATCAATCTTCGCAATTCGGGAATTTTTCGGTAGTCCAAATGTAAAAAAATTCTGCAAGTTATGTTTGGTTTCTGGTGGTCTTGATAAAAAAAAGTTTTCTTATTTATGAATAATATATCTTCATTTTAATTCTGTAAGTTTAATGTTCACTAACTGATATAATAAAATGATTGCAGATTAACTTAGAGTTTTCCTTCTCCAGTCAGAGGAAAAATGAACAGGGATGCCAGAATTATTACATTTGAATGGGGATTCGCTGTTTGTTAAGTTCATTTCACTTGTGCTTGATAATCGTTACAAGACTTGAGCCATTGGACCAGCAGTGATGGGTACCTGGTAGTTATATTTGCCTTTTTTCAAATTGACTCACCAAAAACAGCCCATGACTAATATTAGATGATTGCTATCTGATTTCAAACTGTTGATGCTGTTGCACACACCTGTACTCAATTTGTGTTGTGAAGATTTAGCTGTTTTGCTGCATTTGAGATGGGAAATTCCGTATGTCAACGCGCCATGACCAAATTTAGTGTTGCAAGATGGACCTTAGCAAATGAACAGAACTGGTTAGAATGACCTTGTCTTTACAGTTGCACTGAAAGAAAAACTCTTTCCAAGTTTGGTTAGAAAATGAAATAAATGTACGTTCCAAATTTCAAGTTAGTATGCTTGACGTAAAGGATATTGCAATATGTGGACTTTGGATAGCATTGGATTACTTTGAATAGCATTAGATTGCATTGGCTTTAATGACATTAGATAACGTTGGCTATCGTAGGATAGCATGGGATAGCATTAGATAAAATTGGCATGTGGAGTCTGGAACAGAATGCATGATATCTATGTTAATATATACCATACTTTGGATTGATTGGTTTGTTGTTTATCGCCGCACTCAGCAATATTCCAGCTATATGACAGCGGTGAGTCAGGACCAGACAATCCAGGGATTGACATCATGAGCATCAATCCACGCAATTGGGATTGATGACATGTTTCAACCATGTCACTAAGCCTGACCACCCGATCCTGTCAGTCGCCTCTTACGACAAGCATAGTCGCCTTTTATGGCAAGCATGGGTTGCTGAAGACCTATTCTACCCCGGATCTTCACGGGTCTCCATACTACAGTCAACAACTGGGCACCATGCCCTTGGTTCTTTAGGGATTGATACCGTTTTATCCATCTTGTTCAGAGTTCATTTTCATCTGGTGGTTTCAGCAAACTAGCGACAATGCCTCACCTCTTCAGTGCAATGTTCTTCTGCCTCAGGGGAGACAACTGTGTAGAGACACTGACACAGATGCTTTAAACGTGAATATTGAAACAAGTATCACATGACATAAATACATTATGATTGAAGTCCCATTTACAAACATGTGCTGACTATTGCCAACTATCAACATTTGTGTGGACAAAATACAGCAAGTTGTATTTACTGTGAGAGATTTATTGTTGTCTTGTGACACTTAGCCCACCGAGGATCTTATGAAAGCGCACCATGTCCACAATTAGACAAGAATGTTTGGCTTGATCCATTATGCATCAATAGGCGCTACACTTATTTACTCAAGATGGTGTTTTATTGCCTGATCGGTATGTAATGGGTGCAGTCTTTGATTAAAGTCTAAGTAATGGCTCACTGCAAGAAAATAAAATGGTCATTTTATTTGTCTGTTTACTCAAAGTTTGCATAATGGATGCCACATAGAACCATGCATCTACAAACACCAGAGGAAGTGGGAGCTTGACATGACGAAACTGCCTTCAATTATCCATCTAGCAGAGACATTATTTGCAAATTATGTTTAATATGGATTGGGGTTGATCTAGCTTTTGATATTCATGATGCTTACATTTGCAGACGTCAGAACAATGAAGCTTAAGCTTCATAGAACATGTGATGTGATATGGGTGCTAAATACATGAAAGTTTTTGGAGAATATACATAAGCATTGCTGTATCTTCATTGCTGTAACGTCAGACAATTCGTTGAACACTCTGTTACCACTGCTGTTACCAGTCATAGCTCCTTACAGTGACAAGCCATTTGTGGAACACTCAGTTACCACTGCTGTTACCAGTCATAGCTCCTTACAGTGACAAGCCATTTGTGGAACACTCAGTTACCACTGCTGTTACCAGTCATAGTTCCTTACAGTGACAAGCCATTCATGGAACACTGTTACCACTGCTGTTTCCAGTCATAGCTCCTTACAGTGACAAGCCATTTGTGGAACACTCAGTTACCACTGCTGTTACCAGTCATAGCTCCTTACAGTGACAAGCCATTTGTGGAACACTCAGTTACCACTGCTGTTACCAGTCATAGCTCCTTACAGTGACAACCCATTCATGGAACACTGTTACCACTGCTGTTTCCAGTCATAGCTCCTTACAGTGACAAGCCATTTGTGGAACACTCTGTTACCACTGCTGTTTCCAGTCATAGCGCCTTACAGTACGTGACAAGCCATTTGTGGAACACTCTGTTACCACTGCTGTTACCAGTCATAGCTCCTTACAGTGACAAGCCATTCATGGAACACTGTTACCACTGTTTGTTACCAGTCATAGTTCCTTACAGTGACAACCCATTCATGGAACACTGTTACCACTGCTGTTTCCAGTCATAGCTCCTTACAGTGACAAGCCATTTGTGGAACACTCTGTTACCACTGCTGTTTCCAGTCATAGCGCCTTACAGTACGTGACAAGCCATTTGTGGAACACTCTGTTACCACTGCTGTTACCAGTCATAGCTCCTTACAGTGACAAGCCATTTGTGGAACACTCTGTTACCACTGCTGTTACCAGTCATAGCTCCTTACAGTGACAAGCCATTCGTGGAACACTCTTCACTGTGCTGGTGCTACCTGTCACAGCTCTCTACAGTGCTAGGTGATTTACAACCATGCATGGAGTTGAACCCGACTGACTGGTATGTTTACAAGTGATGACTGACATGATTCTGAATACCTTTCTCCAAAGTTAAATTGTTGTGTTTATTTAATTTGAAATTCTGTTCATTTCAGCTGTCATTAGTGTAATGAAATTGTTATGAGGTGTTTGTCTGCAATCTCGAGCCAATCTGATTCAACAAACATATATATATATATTGGTATAGGAAGTCCCTCGGTAAGGGTGTTCACGACTTCCTGTTATGACATTCCCCATAGATACCAGGGCCCACCTGAACAAAGCAATCTTAGCGCTATGACTATTGTAAGCCTATGTTAAAGTATGGGAGTTACGATCATCTTAGCGCTAAGATCGCTTTGTGCAAGTGGGCCTCGGAAGGTAATGAAGGGGTCATGCACTTGAAAGGTGCTTTTTGAAAAGATTTCAAAGGGAGACAACCACTGTATTCCTTTTGTCTTCCTCTCTCTCATTTTGGGTGATATACCGGTCATACCGTTGTGTTCCAGGCATTGGCCTTTGGCATCTGTGTGGTTCCATTGTCATCAATTAGACAGGGCTCTTACCAGCGAGTGACCCATTTCGGGCGTAAAATTATTCAAAGCCAAGATGTCAGTATGATTCAGATAGCAGGGCAGAGAAACTGTAGTTGATCAGAGAGCTTATCATTCACTAGGGACATCGTGGGGGGATTACGCTTGTCGTAAGACGTCACTGAAGAGGATCTTGGGTCAGGCTCAGTAATTTGGTGTTGTACATGACTTGGTGATGACTAACTGATCGCTGCTCATGCTGTCAGCCATTGGTCTGGATGGTTTATGCTTAAAGGTGATGCAGCTGGAATATTGCTGTGATGTAGCTGGAATATTGCTGTGATATTGATGGTATATTGATTGTATATTGATTATGATTACTGTGGCATACTGCTCGTGCACTACATACCACTGCCACATTTTTACGGAATATCAAAATCTACACAGCCCGATTCGCTGTGCAGAGTTGCGCCCCTTGGGCACGCCAGAAACCTATGATTGGGGGTTCGAATCCCGGTTCGCCATGATTATGAATCTAGGTTTGTCAGCACCATCCCCCTGCTCGTGGGTTTCTGAGACCTGCATCACCCTGGGCTCTCCTCCCACATTAAGCTGACACGCTGTGATATAACTGGAATAATGTTAAAAGCAACTCAGTCACTCATACTGCATCTGACCACAGACAAGTTTATTGTTAGCATTTTTTTTTTCAGATACTCACTCACTCACTTACTCATTTCACTTAAAATATCCATTTTTCATTATTCTTTTATTGTTTAATTTTTTAATCATTGTTTGAGTTAAATTTTATCATAATTTCTATTTTCTGTCTTGCAGTACCGTCAGCCAGTCGGAGTATTCAGGAGAAGGAGAACACCGATTCCAGCAACCTGCTTGGGGCGGAACTGCGGTCTCTTCCACCCCCTGAACAGTATGTTCACCAAGACCGCTCCCCCGGCGCTGAGACGACCATGTCCGCACCGCCTGAGGAACGCAACAGCATTGAGAGAGAACTGGTGTATGTGACCGCCAAAAGTCGTCAGGGCAACCACACAGGTCATCATGGACGCAGACAGGTACCTCGCCGCCACACTGTGACGGCATCGAAGACTGACCAGCATGCCATGGGCTATCGATCAGAGGGAGAAGAGGTAGGTGGAGCATTAGGCTACTCAACACTCTCTTTGGCTCATTCCTCCCATATAAAGGGCTGAGCTTTTCATATTCTGGGGCCAGGCTTAAGATTTCCTGGAAAAAAAGTAATTTGTAAAGTTTTACCCTGGAAAATTGTTGTGTGAGCCCCTTATATTTATTTCACTCCTCCTTCAGAGAAAGTCTTGAAGTGCTGGCTGACAATAATATTGTCTCAAACCAAAATCCCAACCCACCCAAATAAATATACTACTCAAAAGAAGTTAAAGAACACTTGGTTCTTTCATATTCATGCCATGACAGATTAGCTACAGAAATATGGGAGAATTGGGTGAACTTTAACTTCTTTTGTGTAGTATATCAAATGAACAGTCCCTTACAAGGCAAATTGGGCCAAATGAAGCCAAGAAATTTGAAAATGTTGAGTTGACATTGTAAATGGATTGTTCAGTTGCTGTGCGTTAATATTCTTTCCTTTCATGACTTGCCTCGAGACGTATCCAGAGACGGGTGTAGGGGATGCACACCCCCCTTTGGTTGAGCCATCCTACAACTTGTGTCTGTGTGCCGTCATGTGTTCGGCTCTCTTTGTCTCTTTGTGACCTATGTGATATTCTTACCATACATTGAGACATTTAAGACAACATTCATTCAATTTCCAATAGGTCATCCATGAAACTACCCTTATGTGTCTATGTGTATTTTTATAGTACCATTGGGTTATTATAAAAACATATATTGCACTCTACATATGAGACATTTTATACACTTATTGCTGTGTCTCAATGGGTGAAATATGTTGCATGTATTTCAGCAGCAGCTTCGATTAATTGTTCAATTTGTTTTCCAGCAATGCCTTAGCACTATAGCTGTTTGGGAGTTATCAAGGGAGATAACTCTGTGCACCTTGTCTGCATGTTTCATTCATTGAAACACCCATAAAATTCTTTCAAACAGGACTTTCACAGGACATGGAGGACAAGTCTGTCATACCAACCCTGAAACAAATATATCCACTACAGCCCATCCAAGTCTTTTATGTTTGGCAAGTCTAGATTACTGCAGTATCAGGGAGAAAGTCTCTAGGCTCCTTTTTATAATATTTTATAACTATAATTTAACAAATGTTTTTTCTGTAAAATATGTTCATTTCAGAGACTAGATGTTAATCTGATGGAGGATGTAATCTGCAGTTTGTGTTTTATAGATTTTGTGTTATTTTCATTCAGTTGACACTATGCCTGTTTCATACATTGCTTTGTTATGTCTCTATTTAAGAACATAATCTTTTCCTATTTTTTTCATATTTTTTGTCATGTTTGTGACTTTCCATCATTTCACATCTGGTGCATCTTCCTGAGGCAAGGGCGTTAACTGACTATAAGTCCAGTTTCCACCCTTGACAAAACCTAGGCTGGTGTTCAGGAGTTACAGTTTGGCTGGAATAATCAGTTTAATCACAGTCTTGTAACAAACTATATCCATGTTTGTACACAACATGGATTTCAACGTACAGATTTCAGTCGATTGCAGGGTTTGCAAAGCATGTGTACTTGGCATTGACAGATATTTTGCAAATCTTTTCATGGTTTTAATCAAGGTGCTCAAGTGATTTGATGCACTTTGTAGGGTAAAACCCGTTTTATCACAATATAGATATTGATTATCAATCAGATTGTCTTGACTAGGTGGCGCCATTTGTTTAAAGTAAATGCAAGTTATATGAGAGATGGAATCTGATTGGTCAATAGGAGGGACATTGAAGGGACATTATTCGTAATAGCCACTGGTGGTGGTATGATGGAGTCTGGATATTCCGGCGTAGTTCAGCAAGGGTGGAAACTGGACTTAACGCCCTTGCCTCAGAAACATGCGTCTTGTTTAAAGGAGCAGATGACAACCCAGGCAAGAATCCTCACATCAGTACAGAAAATAAATACTGGTATGTGTTTGTTATAAATGGGTTAAAAGATTGCAAAGTCAGTATTTATGAATCACTAACACCAGCTGGCACAGTAGATCATGTTGCACAGACTGTGTGTTCACGGGAGAAGTTGGCAGGTTGAGCTGCAGTAGTAGTCTGACCTGGGCTAGACTCTGAGCCAGGCAACCTGCTAACTGGTGTTCATGTACTGCTGACAACTGAGGTAGCTGCAGGTATACATGTTGTTGTTATGATATGGTGTTGTTACTGTAGCTGCTGAAACAGCCTTGAACATAGAGTTCCAGGAAAATGGGCTTGACTTGGTCCGGGTGGTGTGAAGAAGGATAATTGTTCCTGGGACAAGACCATAGAGCTTTGAGCATAGCACATAGTCTTCAGCCCAGAGCATAGAGCTTTGAGCCTTGAACATAGAGTTCTAGGAATATGGGCTTGACTTGGTCCGGGTGGTGTGAAGAAGGATAATTGTTCCTGGGACAAGACCATAGAGCTTTGAGCATAGCACATAGTCTTCAGCACAGAGCATAGAGGTTTGAGCATAGAGTCATAGAGCCTTGAACATTGAATAGGGCATGACTTGGTCAGGGTGTTGTAAAGAAGGATGATTGTTCCTGGGACAACACCATACACTTTGTCTTGAGCATTCAGCGAAGAGCTTCGTGAATTCTTCAGAAGAGTTGGTCAATCAACAGAGCATAGTGCTTTTGATGACCATAGAGGATGTGGCATAGAACTTAAGGAAGGCTTGACTTCGTGTGGGTATTATTAGTGATGTTTGAAGGAAGAGACGGTTGTCCCCTGGACAACACCACAGAGTCTTGAGCATTAAGTGTGGAGCATAAAGCATAAAGCATAAAGTCTCATCAGTGGGACTTGAATGTTCTGGGGAAGAGAATAGAGCCTTGTCCATCGAGCACAAAGCCTTGACCATACAGCATAGAGCCTTGACCATACAGCATAGAGCCTTGACCATAAAGCATAGAGCCTTTACCATACAGCAGAGAGCCTTGACCATAAAGCATAGAGTCATGACCATGCAGCATAGAGCCTTGACCATAGAGCCTTGTCTATAGAGCACAAAGCCTTGACCATACAGCATAGAGCCTTGACCATACAGCATAGAGCCTTTACCATACAGCAGAGAGCCATGACCATGCGGCATAGAGCCATGAACATACAGCATAGAGCCTTGACCTAACAGCATAGAGCCATGACCATACACCATAGAGCCTTGACCATAGAGCACAAAGCCTTGACCATACAGCATAGAGCCTTGACCATAAAGCATAGAGCCATGACCATATAGCATAGAGCCATGACCATACAGCATAGAGCCATGACCATACAGCATAGAGTCTTGACCATAAAACATAGAGCCATGACCATACAGCATAGAGCCTTGACCATAAAGCATAGAGCCATGACCATACAGCATAGAGCCATGACCATAAAGCATAGAGCCATGACCATACAGCATAGAGCCATGACCATACAGCATAGAGCCATGACCATACAGCATAGAGTCTTGACCATAAAACATAGAGCCATGACCATACAGCATAGAGCCTTGACCATAAAACATAGAGCCATGACCATACGACATAGAACCTTGACCTAACAGCATAGAGCCATGACCATACACCATAGAGCCTTGACCATAGAGCATAGAGCCATGACCAAATAGCAAAGGGCCTTGACCATACAGCACAGAGCCTTGACCATACAGCACAGAGCCTTGACCATATAGCACAGAGCCTTGACCATACAGCATAGAGCCATGACCATACAGCACAGAGCCTTGACCATATAGCACAGAGCCTTGACCATACAGCACAGAGCCTTGACCATACAGCACAGAGCCTTGACCATACAGCACAGAGCCTTGACCATACAGCACAGAGCCTTGACCATACAGCACAGAGCCTTGACCATACAGCACAGAGCCTTGACCATACAGCACAGAGCCTTGACCATACAGCACAGAGCCTTGACCATACAGCATAGACCTGGCATGATTTAGGATGGGGTGAGGTGAGGTGAAATTGGGTTTAACGTCGCATCCAAGGTTATTCCACTTATATAGCAATGTGCATGCATGTGTGTGTGTGTGACTGCTTGTATTAGTCCGGACTGATGCCGATTTATAGTGATAGCTCACTGAGATAACATGCCGCAGTTTAACATGAATACCCTACTCAGGTACAGTATACTGACTCCAAGCTGACCAGTCCTTGTTTTAGCCCCTTATTACTGAGCGCCAGACAGGGTAACAAAAAGTACCATCTTTTAAGGTCTTTTGGTATGACGTGGCCGGGGATCGAACCCCGGACCTTCCGCTCTCCAGGCGCTCTACCACTAGTCCACGGAGGCGGTCACTTAGGATGGGCATTGTTGGTAATGTTTTCAGGGAAAGAATATTAAACTGCTAAATATAAAAAGAAATTCTTCAGTGATGTTATTGTGACCTTACAAGACATGACAGTTGTCAATAACCCATTAGAAACCATATGGTGGTACATAAATATATATAATTTCATAAATGCATTTTAGAATAATTAATTTTTCGTTTCTGTAATGTATAGGATCATAAAATCTTATCAATATCAGATTTGATATCCTCTCTCGATATCAATTCATCACAAACTGATTTAATCAAGCTATATGCAATGTTTACATTACGGTAAAAGGGTTTTGTGTTACATGCTTTTACTGCATACATTGAATCAAATAACAATTCTGTCACCTTACCATGGCCATGCATGTTGACATTCTTCAAGAACAGGACTCTTTTTTTGTGTCTGGGAAAAATGAACAAACTAGCAATTTGCTGAAAGTGATGACAGAACATGCTTTTTACAGTAATGAAGTGCAGTTATTTGTCATGGGGCTGTCTCTCTGATGTTATTGATCTCTACAAGTGTGGCAACACAGGGTGTGAGTCAGCCCTTGACGTGAGACGCACATAGCGTCGACTGCACAGTGCAGTCTTCATTGCTTCACCTGGATCTTGTATCGATTAAATATTCCGGCATTGTTCCCAGGATACCTTATCAGCAC